CAGCGCCAACGGAAATAAACAGAAGTAAGCCCAAGTAAAGTGAAGTGAAGTGAAGTGAAGTGAAGTGGGCGAAGTGCGAGTTGTGAAAGTGAGGCGGCAGTGCCATGCGAATGGAAATGCCAATTGTGCCCGGCAATGGCAATCAATGCTTTCTGGAGCACGGCACGCGGCATGACAAATTGCAAATCGCTTTGGCCTCCATCTGTCCCTGGCCGTCCCACTGGATCCGCTGGATCCACTCGCTCCACTGCTCCACTGCTCGCCCTCCAGAAGCGGATGCTGCAAGACCGGAATGCCGCAGAGCCCAAGACGGCAACGTCAAGTGTCACAGCAACAGCGCACAGTGGGTCGAATAGGTATACATGTTGTAAAAATAAAAAAAATAAACTATGGGGGATTTAAAGCAAATAACACAATATTCAAGGCACCAACTCTTTTGGCAGCTGAAAATCTAATGGCATTTTAAAGAGCTATGAATGGGAGGTGTATTTTAACAATAGTAGTTCCTAAAATACAAAATTCATACAAATTTTTTTTGCTTGCTAATAAAAATTTAGCTTCCCAAACTTCAATGAAGAATAAATATTGTGTAGCCCATAGATTTAAACGAACAACTAATTGTAGAACTACAAAATCTGTTTTAAAAAAGCAAAGCAAAATCTTAATGACACCTGCAAGATCACTTGAATATATATTTCTCGACCACTGTGCGTCTGTGGGAGAATGAAAGACGGCGAGAAGAAAGCGGATTGCGTAATACCTGCGTCATGACATAAAGCCGGAGGCCTCGGCGATGAATGTTTGAGGGGGGTTGAGGGGGTGGCCAGAGGTGTAAGAAAAAGGGGGCAAGGGAAGGGGAGTAGGAGGAGGGGTAGGGGGAGGGGTAGGGGGAGGGGTAGGGGGAGGGGGAAGACTGGACCCGCATAATTGTGCGGCTACACTTGAAGCGAAGTTAAGGGCTCTCTCCGTCTGAGAAACTGAGAAACTGAGGAACCGAAACCGAAACGGAGGCCAAAATGTGGGCGAGGCCTAGGCGCAGCAGCTCCAAAATAAAAAAAAAAAAAAAAAAAAACATATAAGAAAAAAAAGCTAAAAACAAAAAACAAAAAAAAAAAAAAGCATAAAAAACAACAGCAGCATCAACGCGACGGCAACACCTCATCACATCGGAATGCAATTTCACTTCTTTAAATATTTTCCCAATTGTTTTGTGCGTGTCGCTGGCTCTGCGTTTTGGATCTGGGTCTTCGGAATGGATCAGGTTATTCCTATATATATATATACATATCAAGTGCACTGCAAAACTCACTTGTTAATCGTTTTACTTGTAAATCGTTATTTGTAAAATGCATTTTTCAAAATCTATTCGTGGTGGAGGAGGATTGAAGTAACCAGCGCGAATGGCCGACTGCCAATAAGTTTGGTTAATGCAAAAGTTGACAGCTTGCTGATTGTTTTAACAATGCAATCAACTCAAATGGCTTTGAATGTGAAAAACGTTTTACTATGATTTATGGAAATCGCCGACCAAAGAGATTTATCGTAATAAAGGGTTTGGAAACTCTTTATTTAGGTTTTGGCTTAACAAGGCGAACTTTGTTCCGGTTTCATTTTCATCAGTCGTAACTAATGCGCAACATTGATTAAAACAAGACACGAATTTTAGAGAAAATTTGACAGGGCTCTCTTACAAAGTTGGTTAATAAAGTAACAGGCAAAATTAAATGAAATACAATTAAGTGATTTATTTTGTTGAATATGTAAATTAATTTTGTAAAAGGATTACCTTGCATTCAACTTGCATTTGTTACTTAGTTTTATTATGAGCAAGCCAATGGCAGGGAATTACAACTTCGGCCTAAGCGGCTTTTCGGTGCAGGGCATTCCAGTTTGTCTTCGCTCTTGGACCCTTATCACCATCGAGCTGGAGGGCTCTTTCCGATGAACCCATTTAGAGCTCGAAACGAAAGTAGCCATCAACGCAAGACTCGAGGAAGTAAAAGCGCAAATAATTGCGACCGGCCAAAAACAAAAAAATATATACCCACACACTTGCCGCCAATAGTTACATGTATATATTTATTTATATATATACAAGTGCATATATATTTATACTATATATATGTATATGTGTGTATGTACGGGGATATTTTAAATGTGTAATGACAAAAGCAACAGCGGCCAACAGATGCGGCCGAAAAATATTGCCACTTAGTTGAATGTTGCTGTTTGCAGTGGTTGCTGTTGTTGCATGTTGCTACTTGCCATGACCAGTTGTTGTTGCTGTTGCTGTTGCTGGTGCAACTGGTCACATGGTGGCCATGCGGCACCCGCAAGATGCAACAGCAGGAAGTCCAAACGCGGCAGCAGCAGCAACTGTGAAGTAACCTGGCCAAGAGGGAAGAGGGTCACCAGTCGCCAGTTGCAAGTTGCAAGTTGGCAGTTGCCAGTCGCCAGCCAAATGGATGGCGTCTGCGAATTTTCGGGTTTCTTCTTTTCACTTTAAGAGGGTATTACAGTTCTGAAATTGCATTTGAATTTCATTCAAAGGCAACACAACTTAGGTACTATATACTGTTTGAATTCGAAAACAAAATTAGCAGAACTAATGGAATAAATAATCAATGGCATAGAAATGTGAATAGATTCGGATTTTTAACTCAGGAAAATTGATTACTTATATAAAAATTTGTTAGATATCATATTATCCCCCTTAAAAATCCCTTATAATTTTATACTTTTCTTGAAATAGTTAGCTAAACCTATATTGCTTGCATTATGAAGCTTGTGAGTTGCCAGTTCTTTACTCTTTCTTAAAACTTCTGTTTTGTTTTTCTGTGATAAAGTATTCGCGTATTCGGTTGCAAGAAATGCATCCTTCTATTAATGTTTTCCACGGCAGTCAGTCAATAAGGGAGAAGGAGTGGACTCCCCATTTTCGATGGCCGAATGCGAGAAAGCCAGCGTGTTTCTTTTCCGTTTTTTTGGTTTTTGGGGTTTCTGGATTTGTTTTTTGGCTGGAGAGTCTTGAGACAACCATGACGATCACGGCGTTGACGGTGGATGATGATGATGCGACGAGACGAGGCGTCGACGATGATGGAGTTGACGGGAGCAGCTCGCTGGGCTGCAGATGCGGCACAAACCCAGTGCCGCAGAAGAGAGTGGCCCGTTAAATGCAAATGAAAGCGAAATCGAGTCACGCGAAGGCCGCGCATCATCTCCCCGGAAAAACCCCGCCGCATTTCGCCCCGGTCACCGAGATGAAAACTTGATCTCCGCAGCGACTCTGCAACTTCTTCAACAAGTCGCGGGGGGCAGGGCACTTTTTATGACTCAACTTTGTGGAGGGAATGCGAGACAGCGAGACAGCGAGAAAGAGTGGCGGAGCATCGGACATTGTGGCAAGTGTGTTGACATTGTTCTACTGCCGGCTGGCCCATTAAAGCAGCTCATGAATATCGCAGAGCTCTGCAACCTAGAAAATCTCAACTGGCTTTCGGCGGCGACGAGACTATTAAGTAATATGAAATGGAAGTTATGCAAATACCGCATACATATTAATCGGAATAGAAATGGAATCGCATCGCATCGCATAAATTCAACATCGGAATTCAAATGAAATAGAAAACGTAGCCGATGAATGAAATGGTTGTAAAATGGAAGTGTTTTTAAAACACACTCAATTTCGGTGTCGAATACAAACAAGATTTCTAATAAATGCCATTTATTGGACAGCCAAAATAAAATGATGATAAAAACCACAGTTTATTTTTAGCAGAATTTTGATTAGCATATTTTTTCAATCAGCTTTTAAATATGTAATTAATTAGGGAAACCAAGCCATTTGAACTTAAACCAAATCAAACAAATAATTATGCCAGTGTAAACAATAAATGTGGGAAAGCTAGAATATTAATATTGTGAATAATTAAAAAATAACTTTGTACTATTTATTTGCCAAAAATTTAGCTTCACAGAATTTAATGATTTTCACCAATTTAGAAAAGTTTTGTCGTGAAAATTAAAGTAGTTAATTTGATTATTTTATTATGTACGAATTCCATTCAAACCTTCTGTGGGATTTATCTTATGCCACTGTATGGTACATTATAATACACAATTAATTTAACGTTTAATAATTGTAAAGGTTTAAAGAATTTGTTATATTCGGATGCAAATTAATATCCTATTTTAACAATTTACCAAATTCCTTGAAATTTAATTTAACCTTTATTTGCGATAATTTGCTTTGGAAAAACCTGACTTGCTGAGTTTCTTAGTAGTTGCCAAAAGGCTGCAGCTCCACCTCCTCCGTGTGGCACTTGATCATGAGGAAGCGTTCGCTTGAGGAAAACCCATTAAGGCCGTCATGTTTACATCGCCAAGAGCCGCGACTCGAAGCACTCGAAGATTCGCCTTTGAGCGGTGTTCAAGGCTCCGAACTTTGACAGGGATCTTCAACTGCGACTCGCAAAATGACACTTGGCTTTGGCTGTGAGAAGAGAGACCCGGAGATTCGAGATCCGAGTACCGAATACCGAGTACTGAGTACTGAGTACCAAGTACCAAGTGCCGTGCCCCATGGGGCAAGGTTGCTCGCCGGGCTCTTCGATGCCAAGGTATCGTATCGTTTCGTGTCGCATGGTATCGATGTGAAAATAAGTTGCAAAACTGGTCGCGAGAGGGAAAAATCTCTCAAAAGTGAAGCTGAAGCTGGTGGAGCTGATGAAGCTGAAGCTGGGTGAAGCTGTCCCTTTTTGCTCGGCACCTTGCTCTTGGCTCTTGGTTGTTAGCTCTTAACTCTTGGCTCTTGGCTCATGGCTCATTTGGAATTTCAGTACGTTTACGTTTACGAAATTTCTTCACTTTCGGTTTCGATTCGGTTTCTTCAGCGGCTGCGCGGCGGCGGCGGCGGCAGCGGCAGCACAGCAGCGACGCCGACGTCGACGTTGGCCGGGCTATTACCTATATGAGCTGGCGTTATCATCTGAGCGGCAGCATTTTCAACTCGCGACTGACAAGCAGCGGTCGCCGTGGCCATCGCCGATCCGTCGTAGTCGAGAGATCAGATCAGATCAGATCCGATCAGATCCCCAGAGATCCCGATCCCGAAATCAAAATCAAAATAAAAATCAACTCCAACCGATTCGCACCGATTCGAACCGTTTTCGAACCGTTTCAGAACCGATCCCGCGATCTGTTCCGTGAGTGTCGCGAATTTTCAAAATCTCCACTTTTTTTTTTGAATATTTTTTTGAACGACTACACCGGATCCTTTTGTTGTGTGTTCAGTGACGAGTTAAAGCCCCGCATTTTTTTCGAGTGCCTTGTGAAGAGGATAACCCACTGCAAGCAGCTGGCATGGTAAAGAATCGTTTCCCTAATTGGACTCGAGTGCCAAAGGATTACGGAAGAAACTCAAACGCAAGCCCAATTAGGGGAAAAGTCCGAGCGACTTAAGGGAATTACCAGCGAAAGTAAAAGTTATCCCGACCCCTAAAAAAAGGAAGATAGATTTCCCGAAAACTTTGTCAAAAATTCCATGCACAGGAAACAATTTTAGAGTTGGATAATTAGAGTTTCGTTGTGAAATTGGTGGCATTATTAATAACAGGATCAGAAATATTTTGATTAATTATTAAATGGAAGTCCTTGAAGGAAATAAGTTATACAAACAAAGTCAGAAATAGAAGAATCAAACTAAGATATTATTTGCTTTTTTTATAGTGTGACTGAATCAGGATTAATCATTTACATTTATATTTCCCTAGATAAAATTATCAAAATATTGAGATATGTTTTTTTTTGTATATTGTTCCTTTAAAATCAGAATAGAATGTATATTTGTCCGTGCAGTTTGTTCGCTTTAAGAACGCGGCACGCCTGCGCCTTGGCCCTTTGACCTTGCCACACGACCTCTGCTAATTGATGAGGGTTGTCGGGGACTCAAACGAAAATTGATGCAGGACCGGAATTGGGTTGGCAATGCCTGGCCCAGATTATTCATTTGCTGTCGGGGGCCAGAAGGCACGAGCGGCTTGTCTCCAGACATAATTTATTCATTATCGAAATTGATTCATAAATAATTTCGCATTCACATTTGCCCGCTTTTCTCTCGGCTTTAGCAGTTGCTATTGGATGGGGGAATTTAATTAACGCAGATTACGATTCTCGACTTTTGGGCCAGAACAGGCAGCTGTGGCCAAAACTTGCGGCCCAATTCCCCCGGCAAAAACCCTTCCCGTTTTGCCCGAATCGCTTCGGATTCGGTTTCGGCTTCCTGGCTGAAAACTTGGCCGTTTCTGCCTGCCTTGCCTCTTTTATTTTTTTGGCCCGTTCATCTCCGAACTAAATTTACGTCTTCTCAGCGAGAGTGAAAGTTTTGCCGGGCCGTCTGTTTGTTTATTTGTTTTTTGCCCGGGCCTGGTTTTCATTTGTTTGCTGTCTGCCGTTGTTGTCAATTGTTTAGCATCAATAACAAATATTTGTGGCCTATGCTAATGAACAGAAATCGAACGCCGGCCAAAGAAAGCGCACTCAAAATAGTGACCAATGGGATAAACTGTTACCAGTGATCAGTGACAGGTGACAAAAAAATATAACTCAGAAATAGAATAACAAATTAAGTTGGGTATATGTTTTGTTTCTGATATAATCTTGTTGGATTTAAATAGAATAGATAAATAGATCAATTACTATAATTTCACTATAATTTGAATTCAAATGGATAACTAGAAATCGTATTATTAGATACTTTCGAATAAATATAATTTATTCAAGGCTCTTCAACTTAATTTCTCGAATATTCATAAATTAAGTGAGAGAAGATGTATCGTTACTGCTGTTTTGGGCGCAACTGTACACATGCGACCAAATGACTTAGTGACTCTTCGTACAGAGGGCATCAAAAAGGCAAGAAAAAAAAAACACCGATCTACAATGGAATCGAGTTGCAAATGCTGGCCACATGCGGGTCACTTCACACGCTTCACAGACAATGGGCACAGCAACCCCCTCAGAAAAAGGCAAAAACAAAAAAAAAAAAAAAACGAAAAAAAACACACGAAAAAAAACCATCACCCCCTTTAATTGTTTGCCATTTCTTTTATAATGTATTTTCATTATGCGGCGCATAATTTCACTGCCAACATTTGTGACACCTACTCATCCCCACGAAGCGAAGCTCACAGATACGCAGATACAGATACAGATACAGATACATTTACATGAAGATACACCCGGAGCCAAGTGAAAGTTACCTTTTTCGGCTGCCTCTTCGTATCTTCTTCTCTGCTTCTTCTCCTTTTCGACCGCTTATGACATTTTAACACCGCCGCTGGCCAAATAAAAGTTGGGGGTAACTAACAAAAAAAAAAAAAAAAAAAAAAAAAAATAAAAAAAAAAAGAAGCAGGAGAAGAAGTAACAACATATTTTGTGGCTTATTGTGATACTCGTATTCAATGCGCATCGCTGACCATTGAGGTGCACTTTTCCATTTCCAAAGATTGCTGATTGCGGGTGTTATGCAATCCATAAAGAGACGGAGCGATCATGGCAAATGGCATAATAACCTGGCTATTATGGTCGGCCATCCGAAATAATGAGTTGGTTCTTTCCAACGTGGTTTGCACATCTCGAAAAGAAACATTTATTTGCATAGGCTACAAGAAATAATAAACTCAAGAGATCTAGAGAATTTTTTCTGTAATGAAACTGTTTTTATACGCCTTTAAATAGAACATCAATTCCTAATGAATCTATTGAATCAGAACTATTACTAGGGTATTGAAAACAAAGTTTCCTAGTTCCCTTATATAATCCCCTTACGTTTCCATCATTTAAATCGCATAATTAAGTTACCACGCAACAATTGAGTTGTCCAAGCATTTCCTTTCTACAAAACCATGATTCATTGGCCAGATAACTTACTCATCTCCGATACCTTCACCTCTTACATCACCCCAGTCATCCCAATCACTTTCTTATGTAAGGGCATTCCGGCTTCGTCACCTTTTGCGGTCGAAATGCGCGTGCATTTTAGCCATTTTTTATTGGCATTACCGGTGTCTCTTAGCCGCGGTTAAATCGCGTGCTGTGCGTGGAATTTTGAAAGAAGCGCCGTTTCTGATATTGTTTTGGCCCGTTTTGAGTGGCTCTTTTGCCTGTCGAGCATGAAACCAATTAAGTGCCCCCCCGAATCGTCTTGGTCAATGGTTATTTTCGGTTATTTTCGTTTATTTCTGTGCGCTTTTGTTTTGGCTTTTGAGTTTTATATCGCTCGTTCGTTCGCCGGCTGAATTATTGATGATCATGATGAGCGGCGACGTCCACGATGACGATAATCATTATAATCATCATCATTATAATGCCGACGATGACGATGACGATGGCGATGATGACGGCGGTAATGGTGGCGAGTCTGGCCGGGTTATGTTTTAATTAGAGCGTAATACGCCGGCGTTTTCTGGGCAACCGCAATGCCAATTACACCACGCAACAAACTTGGCCTTAATGGCTCAATTAGCACGTCCTCGCTGCCCCGAAAATAATTAATGAAAAATGTTTTAGGGTCTTTAAAGATTTGGCAATGTGCCTTTAACTTAAATCAGGTCGTTAAAAAAAAATACCGTTTTAGTTCGCGTCATAAAAATTACAACATTTTAATTGAAATTAAGAAATTACCAAGCTTGCAAATTAAATCATTATATTTGGCATTTAAATTGTGAAATGGTTTAAAGCGATGCTTTATTTCATTCATTACAAATATTTTCATTTCAATTTTGACATGAACTACTACTAAAATTAAATGGTTATGTCTTGCACTAAATTTTTAGAGTATTTAAAAAACATTATAGTTCATTTTTTGAGTGAGTTAATTATAATGAAAAGTACATTTCATTTGATGTGTAATTTTAATTTATTTTTCACCTTGCTGCATAGTGTGGAAAGCCAAGTAAATGGAGGCAGTTCGGAGGTTTGCAAATTAGCGCAGATTATGGTTACATACTGGGGCAGGTGGCATGTGGCATGAGGCATGCGGCTTGGGGGGTAAATAAAGGGTTGGGGTGTTGGGTTAACCCACACGCACTCACGAAAAACGACACCTGGCAGAGAGAGGGCGAGTGAACCGAGGACCTGTGACCTCTGACAAGCCTTGACAAGTTGCCGCCGGCCAAAAAGGTCAGCGAGTCACCGAGACAGCCAACAAATGAGACGTGGCCCAAAGGGTTGAGGCCGTAGATAAATGGATGGACGGATGGATGGATAAATGGATGGACGGATGGAAGGCAACTGGAGACACACTGTTGTGCCACCAGTGACACTCCTCGGATATTACGATGTCGGTTAGCCGACTAACCCCTGTGATATTACACACTTCTCTCATGCAATCATTTGTTATATTTATATTTTCAACAAAAAATGGGGAATTGGAAATTTATTTGCTCTTACAGTAAATTATGTCACTGTTTTTGGATTACAAAACAATTTAAATATTTTTAGATATTTATTCATTGAATGATAGGTTTGCAAATGGAAGTAGTATATTTAAGGAGCTATAATATTTTTTTAGGCTACACACTTCCGCTTTTAATGGCTTTTAAATGACGTGCAATATTTTTTACAAGTGTCGCGAACTTGGATTTCTGAGTAATGCTTTGGTTTCCGCACCTTTTTGGGCGTTTGACTTCCGCTCCAATCGCTCGTGGCGTCTCATAATTTTTATCCCTTGAGATGTTATCTTGACAAATGAGTGACCTGTATTTATTTTTGTGTTTCCCCTCAAGATGCTGCTCCGTTTTACTTTGCTGGTGGCCTGCTGCATTTGCGCCGCTCAAGCGGTGCTCAGTGGCAAGGAGTTGAAGCGCCGCGAGGCGGGTTTCGATACCTACGGACCACCGCCGCCGCCACGCCCCGCTCCCCAATACGGACCGCCGCCCTCGCAGCAGCAGCACATTCCCTTCAGGGAATACGGAGTCCCCCAGCACATTCCTTTCCGGGAGTACGGACCCCCTGCCATCAAATACGGGCCACCCAAGCTCAACTTCCTGGGAGGCGGAGGAGGAGGAGGTGGTGGTGGAGGTGGTTCCTCGCTGCACGAGCAGATCAAGACCCACTTCGGAGTGCCGAAGCCATTCTACGGACCACCGCACATCCAACACAAGCCTGCACCACAGTACGGCCCACCACCACCGAAGCCGGCACCACAGTACGGCCCACCACCACCACAGCCCGCACCACAGTACGGACCACCGAAGCCGCAGTATGGACCTCCACCACCGCCACCACCGCAGTATGGACCACCACCACCGCAGAAGATCCAGCACCGCCCGGCACCGCAGTACGGACCACCTAAACCACAGTACGGCCCACCACCACCGCCGCAGTTGCTGCCCTCGCCGCATGCAGCACCACTGTTCAAGCCCGCCCACCAGCCAGCCACCTCGTACGGACCGCCTGCCTCTGGACCCCTGAACCTGCCGCCCAAGCAGATCTTCGATGCACCGCCCTCGAACTACGGACCACCACCACTGCCGCTGGCGCTGCCCGGCAACCCGCCACCGGCCACCACGATCATCCTGAGCGGTGCGGGTGGTGCAGGTGGAATCGGAATCGGACCCAGTGGACCCGGACCCGTGAAGCAGGTGCAGATCCAGATCGACTCATCGGGCCACACGCACAGTGTCAGCGGATCACAGGCGCCGTTCCACACGGCCTGCGACGGATGGAAACCCATTCCCGCTCCGGTGGGAGCCTACGTGGAGCAGAACCACATCGAAACCCAGGGAGGCTATAGCCAGGTGTCCCAGGGATCCTTCGGCACCCAGTACAGCGGAGGAGTCGGAGGAGGAGTGGGAATCGGCGCCACTGGAGGCGGAAGCATCGTGGACGGACTCTCCGACGAGCAGCTCGTGGCGGTGGCTCTTCAGGGAGGCGATGGAGCGCATCTGATCACCGGACCAGGAGGAAACTCCATCGAGGCGGAAGCTCTGCAGGTGGGTTGATAAGAAAATTGGATATTTCTTTTTAAATATTTTATTTATATATTTTTTTATACAAATGTAAGTCCAACTAAAGTAAAATCTTTTATATAACAGATCGACGAAACAGGAATAAGTTTTAGTTTATAAACAAGATCAAAACATTTAAAAATGAAAACCTATTTTTACTTAAAAACAACAGTTTTCAAAATTTATTAATCATAGTATATAAATCATATCTACTATAATATTTCTATTAAAAATGCATACTTCAAGGCAAAATTTTTTGTAAAAGATATTAATCAATTCTAGTTCCCTCTTAAAACGTATTTATGCATTACAATATTCCTTTAATTAATGTATACCACATTACAAAATTAATTAAATTCCAATTAAAATAATTTAATATTTCTAAATTACATTTTTAAATACTTTTTATTTTCTAGGCCGCCATTGGTTCGCTGGATGATTCATACTCGAAGCCACCAGCGGACTCCTTTGCCCCGGGATCAGTGCACGCCCAGAAGTACCAGACCATCGGTCACTCCGGACCGCCGCCACCACCGCCAGGTGGCAACTACGGACCACCACCACCTCCCAGCGGTAACTACGGACCTCCACCACCGCCGCCAAGCGGAAACTACGGACCTCCTCCGCCACCACCACCGAGTGGCAACTACGGACCGCCACCACCGCAATTCGCGGCTCTCACCAGCAGCAGCCACTCGAACTCCCACTCGCACTCCCACTCGCAATCGCAGTCCAATGTGAACATCCAGTACGGACCTCCTCCCTCTGGAAACCCGCAACCCTTCCCGCAACACGGAGCTGGTCAGCCCAACAAACCGGTGGCCTACCGACCACCTGTGCCCGCCGGCCTCCTCGAATCCATCGGCGCCACCGTTCAGCACTTGGATCAGTTCGGCGTGAAGCCTCCCCAGCAGCCAGCCACCTATATTCCACCCGCTGCGAATGAGATTCCCCTGGCGGGATCTGCGCCACCGCCACCACTGCCCGCACCACAGGCCCTCTACCAACCACCACCACCGCAGCAGCAGCAGCAAGTGATTCTGCAGCAGCAGTTGCCTGCTCCCCAGCCAGGACCCTCCTTCGTTCACCAGAAGAACCAGTTCGGACCACCGGGACCACCACCACCACCGGAGCCGCAGTACCTGCCGCCACCACCACCGCCAGTGGCTAATGTGCGACCCCTGGGACCTCCGCCACCACCGCCTCCGTCGCAGCAGTACCTGCCAGCTGCACCACCGCCACCACTCTTCTACCAGCAGCAGCAGCAGCAGCACCACCAACATTCGGAGAACAGCTACAGTGCCTCGCAGTTCCACTCGCAGGGATTGCCGCTTCCGCAGCAGGCTCCCCGCTTCAACTTGCAGCAGTCGCAGCAACTGCAGCAGTTGCAACAGTTGCAGCAACCGCAGCCCATCATCGTCCACGACTGCGGACATGGACCGAATCTGGTGAGCAGCAATGGCTACCAAGTGCAACAGCAGCAGCAGCAGCAGCAGCAGTTGCAACACCAGCAGTTGCAGCAGCAGTTTGGCAGCGTGTCTGCCGCATCAGCCGGTGCCTACAACGCCATCTCGCAGAGCATCCCGGTGGCCGAGCAGCACACGCAGCAGTTGGTCAGTGGACCCACCGACAGCTACGGACCACCGCCATCCGGAAACGACATCGACTTCGACCACACGGGCTACGCCTCCCAGAAGAGCGCAGTGGCGGCTCTGCCCGATGGAACGGATCCGCAGCAGCTGCCCGGATTGGATGGCCTCGATGTGCTGTCCGCCACCAAGTCGCAGAGCATCCAGCTGAACAGCCAGCAGCCCACGCAGAACTTCCAAGTGCAGTTCGGGGGATCGCTGAACAATCAGCAGGGAGTGGCGACCAGCGATGCGAATCACGAGGAGATCCTCTCGCAGGGACTGCTGCAGTCCATCCTCACGGCCATCGAGCAGCCGAGCCAGCAGAACGTGCCCCAGAACCACAAGGCTCAGAGCCGCTCCGATCAGCACGAGGAGGACCACCAGGATCAGCAGGATCAGCTAGCGAATGCCGAGGATAACGAGGCGGAGGATGAGCCATCGTCGAGCTCCTCGAATCGCGTGGAGGTGCGAGTGCTGCCCAACGACGATAACGAGGAGGAGACACCCGCCGAGGTGAAGGAGATCGAACCGATCGTGGTCAACGACGAGGAGGCCAAGCATTAGTCAGTCGAAACTAGTTAGCATCGAACTCATCAGCGCCGCTTGAACCTATTTATTGCTGCCTCATCCGCCTCATCATCAACCTCACCGCCGGGTCGCCACTCCCCGTGTCCCCCAGTTGCCATAAAGTGAAAGTCCAGGGGGCAGGGGGAGATCCACCTACCCATCCATCCATCCATCCAATCGACCATCCATCCATCCAACCAACCAAGCATCCAAACATTCGCTATCCACATTTAACACTCACAATCTGAGAAACACACAAAGAGAACAAAGAAGCTAACGTGCGGAGGAAAATCCGCCGCGTGAAAAGTGCCTTTTCATGCTCGCAGCTCGTGTATAAAAATTATTTAAAATAAATAATTAATTTATTATAGCATTGTATTGTATTTTATGCTTTAAACAACCAATAAATATGTGTATACAAAGAAAAAACTCACAAGAAGCCGACACACTCGCAGAGGAAAGCCGCCGCCAAGTGCAAGTCATCTCGAGTCGCAGGTTGGATTGCAAGTCAAGTCAATCGCTCAAGGGCAAGAAACCTCGAGATTTCCAGGTGAGTGAACTATTGCTGTGGTTTAAGCAGGGCTATAACTGTCCTAAAACCTAAGAAAGAGTTGCATCCCAGCCTCTTCAAATTTGGGGAAATAATTTTTTCATTAGTTTATTTTACATTTTAATGAATAATATTATTATGGTCGATGTTTTGTAACCCTTTCAAAATTAGCAAAAAAAATGGATTTGCAGAAAAGTGACCATCTCCCAGCACTTCTAAGGCTATTACTTTTCTAATTTTTATCCGACTTACAAGTGGCATACCTCTTTAAATTTGTTATTTAAATATCTAACGAGCTGCATCATTAGTTTATTTCCCATTTTTTTGTCGATGTTTTGTCATTTTTTTATGACCCCAAACCTTTCGAAATTTGCAAAAATCGAATTCGCAGAAAAGTGACCATCTTCCAGCACTTCTAAGCTCATAACTTTTCCAATTTTTATCCGATTGATTATTGGCATACCTCTATAAATTTGTGATTGAAATATCTTAAAAACTGCATCATTAGTTTATTTCCTTTTTTTTGTGTTTTTTTTCCCCTTGATTTATTTTGTAAAATTGATTTTTTCATTTTTGTCCACTTTTTTCGTTCAAACTATAAGGCATTGCTTTTCCATTTCCCAAAATAACTTTTCTAGCCACTTAAATTTGATTTTTCCGTATTGCTGGGAGGGAAAATATACCTTACAGAATTAAAGAAACAAATTTAGTGAGGAGATTAAAATACATAACCCAAGTAACTCCCTTGGTCCTTTCATTATCGCAGTTAGGCAAATAAATAATTCTTCGGCTCTTGGCCGAACATTCAAAGGATTGGGGACTCCAGTTTTCTCACGCCCAATTCCGCTTCCTCCGCCAATTCCATTTCAATTCCACGGCATCCGCATCCGCAATGGAGCAATGGTCTGCCGTGTTCGGAGGGCACAAGAGCAACAAGAAACAATAAAAGACATAAAATTAATTAAATTAGCCATAAACAAAGCGAAAGGTGATTAATTAACTAGAAATTTATACCGTTATACAACCGAGGGAAAAAGGCATGAAAGACGTGCCCGCTTTTTAGGGTTGGGCTTTTGCCGAGTGGGTTGCTGGGTGGCTTGCTGGGTGGGTGGGTTAGGTGCTGCAGTTCTCGCCGCTTTATTTGCCCATTCATTAATATTTGGTTGCCTCCAGTTCGGGTCCGAAACCTGGCGGCCTCGCCCCTCCTCGCCTCGGTACTGATTTCCTTTCATTCGCCTACAGTGAAAGAAAAATAAATCAATAAAGATATAAGAAATTTTCACCAGAACAAAAAAGAACAAATTATGAAAAAATAACTTTTGAATAGCCCAATGCTTCTTTTGGGAACTTAAAAAACATAAAGAATGTTAAATGAAAAATTAAACTTGAAACCAAAAGGTTAAAAGATTTTTATTTACCTTACTTCTTTACTGTTTGCTTTTTTCACACAAAAGGAAAAGTATCAAATTGATAAATCTCTTTTATTGATTCTTAATCCTCTCTGTGTATCCTACTTCTACTCAATTTTGCCCCATTTGCGTTCCACGTAGCCACTACCTTTGTTTGCCAAGGCGTCGAAGGGAATGGCGGACGGACAACTCACCAGACCGACGGACAGACCAACGGACAGACGGACGGACAAAGGCCGATGGGCAGAGAAAGCGGTGAGGAGCGGGGGAAGATCCGCTGGCGGTGCTTTCATTCAGTTTGCGCACTTTTAATTAATGTTATTAAAAAGTCAAAATGAGCAGCGCCTAGAAAGGCTTTGAACGGCTGCAGAGCGCCTTATTTTGGGAATTCGCGAGAGCAATTGCAAGCTGTGATGGAGAAAAGAGTATCTTAGTGGGAAGACTCCGACTTTCATAGCATTTTTTGAAAAACAAGTCGAGAGAAAATTAAGTAAGCTATCAAATGATGCAATTTGCAGATATTTTTATATTCATATTTCATATTTTTACCCTTGCAGAGCAAAAGGGTATTATAATTTCAGTCAGAGGTTTGCAACGCAGTGAAGGAGATACCTCAGACCCCATAAAGTTCATATATTCTTGATCAGCATCACCATCTGAATCGAAATATGTCAGTACGTCTGTCCGTCTGTCTGTCTGTCCTCCTGTCGGTTTCTATGTAAACTAGTCTCTCAGATTTAAAGCTATCTTGCTGAAACTTTCCCAAAAGTTGTGTGGGTCATTTTATGCAGGATTTACCGAAAGAAAGGTGCGAAAAAATGGAAAAATCGATTATGACCCATAAAAATTTCGATAAAAATTATTTTCCGAAATTTAAAAAAGCTGGTATGCAACTATTTTCTAGGCCTAAAAACGTGAAGGAAAATCAGACGATTATATCATATAGGTGCCATATGAACAATAGTCGAAAATATGGAAAATAATAGAAAAATCGTCATAGCTTATGTTAGATGTTGTTTAGCCTTTTTGTATTTTGTTCGAAATATTTTATAACTGCAAGGGTATATAGGCTTCGGCTTGCCGAAGCTAGCTTCCTTTCTTGTTTTATTATATGATATGACGAAATATTATAAAACTCCATTACCAAGCTGCTGAGTATATTTTATATATTTTTATATATGTATGTACCTTTCATTTACCTTTCCGCCTTACATGCTTTTATACTGGCAAATCTTTGGAGACCATATTTAAAGCCATCTTAAATGCTTTCGGACACCTAGAAAATTATCAGTCACGTTCAATCTCACCGCTCAGATCCTTAATTTAATGCCGGCGGACTTAAGAGTGAAGATTCAGAAAGTCCGCCTGCATTTATTATCGCAGTGTCCTTCGAAACTCTCGTGTTCCGAACTGAAATTCACGCGGACCGAGTGGACAAGTTGTTGCTCGTACTCGTATTTGCTGTGGCTTCGCTCGACTCGCAGTTATTTCCATTAACTTTTGCAATTTGACTTTCGCCACCGCCATCGCCATCGACATCGTTGAAGCCAATGCCTGATCGGCTGCCAATTGTGTAAATTTGTCATTTCAGTCAGCGAAAAACGCGAAAAATGTAATTTGCAGCAACAATTGGGGGAAAGTGGTATTTTGATTAATCGTCGATTTGCATGCGAGTGCGGAAATCCAACAAAAATCCAGACAAGAAAATCAATCCATATAAAAGAGAGCAAATTGAATAAATGTATTCTGTTTGAAACCGATCTTTGGAGTCTCTGCAAGTTTGTTATTATAAAATACAAAATTCAATAATATTTTATTGTCATGTGTTAAAATTTAAGCAAGTAAATTTGCTTAAGTGTTTGATTATTAAAAAGTTATCTGTTTAAGTTTTAAAACATTTTTAACCGAATGCGAAAAGTGTTTTGTGGAATTGTTGAATTCAAAAGAAACCCACTTATGATTATAATTTTTACTCAACGCATCTAACCTGTTCAAAAAGCCTGTGATACAACTTCTTTACCCTTTAGCATCAGAGTACGACAACAAGTTCCTGCAACATAAAACTATGGAGAGTCAGGGAAATAAAACCGAGCGAGTGGTAAAAAATAAAAAGAACAACAGCAGGCATAAAAGGGAAGCGCGCTGAAAATGGTGTTGATTTTTCAGCATTTTATTGTGGCGTTCCTTTTTTCTTGTTGCCTCCCCCTTTTTCGTTCTTATTTGCCATGCGGTGTTTGAAGGGAAGGCCGTGATGTTTACACGGCGTATACGTAATACGCAATACGTATACGCAACGCGAATATACAAGCGGTGGCTGTGAAAAAATGCGGGAATCGCGGGAATCGGAAAAGCGAATGTTGTTCGGGCCTGCACTTAGCTATTTGCCCAGCGCCAATGCATTGGCCTTTTTATCTTTTCGCCTCGAATGGGAAAAGTATTGGTTTCTTGGTTGGTTTTCCTCTTTCCGTCCGTTTCAATTGGACAAATGGTCCGCCTACTTTGGCGAATGCTGGTGTTTGTTTGCTCTGGTCACGCAGAACGGGGCGACCCTAATTACAGTTAATTGGCGCCTTCTGAGGGGGGAGGGGAAAATTAGGGGATGGGGAATGGAGGGGAGAGGGGGTAAGGACTTTTCCTCGGCTGATGGGCCAAAGCTTATACGCACTGCGCGACAGGGCAAAAATACACAATTTTCCACTTTGTACTAATCAAGAACTCATTATCCTTCATTATGCTTTTCAAGTTGCCGTGTTGGCGACGTCCTTTCGCAACACCCCCCTTCCCCCTCCCCCTCCCCCTCTTCCTCCTTCCTCCCTTGAATCTCCTCGCATCAGGAATACAATGTCGCCGGCGCAGCTGCAATTGCAATGCGTCGACGCCGGAGACGAGGACCTTGCCTCCACACGGCAAGAAAATAATCATCACCAGAATCGCTCATTCAATTTGCCGTCTAATAAAAGTATATTGTTTGTAATTAACAATGTTTAAGTGTATGCAAAGTGTGCTTAAAAAGGTAAATAATACATATTGGTTTACATAAAAAGTACTTTAAAGGTATGATTTAAACAAAAGTACATAAAAGAATTGGTGTTAGTATTTAATGAGTACTCACGCAGAAGATTTCTTATAGTTCAAACAGCATTTCTTAAATATTTCAGCTGTCAATAATCTTAAAGGAACATTACTTCCTTGAATAGCAGCATAACTTATTCTCAACCAAGAATGATAACGAATCCTTGATGTTATTGAACTAATCGCGGGTATTTTTTCCTAGTGCACCCCCTACATTATTCTTTAGCTCCACGGGAAGCATCGTTCATGTGGTCGGTCACTCCGGTTTCGCTCGGTTTGTTCTGCTTTGCCTGTCCAACGGGAAGGGGAGCAGGAAGGGAAAAGGGGAACCCGCAACTGCTGAGCTTAAATTATGCACAATTTTATAAATGCCACGGCAAATGTCGACACAAATACGC